ACCATCTGTGGACTGGGTATTAATGACTCCCATGATATAGAGGAGGCACAGCTGTGTACAGAGGCTGTAAACCTCTCTTTCAGACTCAGCACACCCATGCCCCTCAGCAGAGCCACTGGAGCACACACAGCCCAGGGCCCACCCCGCCCTTGTGTGTCTGCACAACACCATCCTCTCCCACCTTTAGAAAAGTTCTTTAGTCTCTCTTGATGAGATTGCCTTACTGTCAAATTCCTCACCTTGAGAAATAATTTAATATGGTGCATTGAGCATTAAAATTAGAATATTCAAATCTGTGGGTTAAAAGAAGAGAAACAGTTCACTCATTATCCATGGAAATGAAACACTGTGCAGTGCCCTGCTCATAAAACTAGAGACCTTCCCAGCCAATAAATTCTTAATACCAAGAAACTCCTCTTAAGAAAATTAAATTTCTGGGAAACTGAGAGTGGGTTCCCATGTACTCAAGAACTTGGCTGTTTGTGTAGGTGATACTGCTGTGGGCTGGAGTGGGTGGCTGTTGTGAAAGCTGGTGGTCTAACCACAGGGATAAACAGCTCTCCCTCCTTGGGAGCCAGTTGGCCATGCCCAGACAGCCACAGGTATTCCCTAGCCCCACTTTGGGCCTAAATGCCCTGAACTCGATGTTGGGTTATGAGAAGAACAGATGCTTCCAGGGAGACAAGCCTTCACTTTCCCCATCTTCAAGTTGAGAAAACATGTCTGGAGAGGGTCCCCTCATGGTAGGCGTTGGCTCTCCATCACCCATCTAGATCAACCCTCACTCAGACTGTGAGCCTGCCACATGCCCAGAACCTGAAGTCTCCTAAGAGAGTCCTGAGAACCCATCCTGTGAGTCTGGAGTTGGACTTGACCAGAGTCGTTCTCATCTTGAGGCAAGAGGTGGCCTCTGCAAGCCCTGGCTTTGGTCAGTCACTGGCTATGGACTGCCTTCCGTGGGATGACATGGCCTCTGTGGGCCTGGCCATTTCTCCTGAGAAGGGTGCAGCCCTGGGGCACCATCTTGACCTCTGCAGATGTCCCTCCTCAGCTGTGGTGGGTGCTCCAAACAGAAGTCCCAATGCCCAGTTGTCTATGAGGACTGGCCTTCCTGTTGTGACTCAGGGCTGCGGAGGGGGCCAAGCAGGTCATGCCTGAGGTCCCAAAAAACCTGGATGGCCAAAGCACCCACCACTCTCCACCTGTGCTGGCACATTGAGAGAGAAAGTAGGATTTACATTTTTGAAGATAATGGAACTGAGAAGTGCCACCTCCCTGAAGGGCACCCCGCTGCAGTGCCTGTCAAAACAGGCCTGGGGGAGCAGCCTCGGTCACCATCGTGGGAGAGGCAAACTGGCTGAATGCACTCCCTAATTACTCCTCACATCTGCACCCCAAGAGGGAGTACCCCTCGTGGAGATACGGCCCAACTAGGAAGGAGACAGAGCCACTGATGTAACATTAATGAAAGGACACGGTGACTGCACACAAGGAGGGGACACTGGCACCTGAGGCAGAGTTAGGAAGGGGCAGGGAAGGCCAGCAGGTGCCAGGGTCCAGTGCCAGCACTGCCGCCTGCCTTTCTGAGGCCTCTGTTTCCTCCTCTGTGGAATGGAGACATGCCCCTCTGCTGTAGCTCTCCAAGGTCCAAGCCCATGTGGGCTGCACCTTTACTGTGGAGCAGCCCTTCTTGCCCAGCTCCTGCTGTGGGACTCGGCTCAGATGTCCCCTGCACTGGGACATTTCTCAGTTCTCTGTACCTGATTACGGGTCCCTCCCTGATTCCCTGATTCCCTGATTCCCCCAGTGTAACTCCTTTTGCTAATTACAGACTTCCTTCTTGGGTTGGCAGTTTTTTAAAAATTTACCACCTTAACCATGTTTAAGTGTGTAGTTCAGTAGTATTAAATACTTTTACATTATTGTGCAACCATCACCACCATCTGTTTCCAGAATCTTTTCACTTTCCCAGATCAAAATGCTGTCCCCATTAAGCACCAACTCTCATTCTCTGCATCCCCCAGTCCCTGGCTATCTCTGTAGATTTGACTACTTTAGGAATCATATGTAAGAAGAACCTGGCTATCTCTGTAGATTTGGCTACTTTAGGAATCATATGTAAGAAGAACCATGTGGTATTTGTTATTTGATGCATGCCTTATTTCACACAGCATCATATCCTCAAGGTTCATTCATGTCATAGCATGTGTCAGAATTTCTTTCATTTTTAAAGCTGAAAAACAGTCCATCTTGTGAATATACCACAGTTTGTTTATTCATTCATATGAAACTTGGGTTGACAGGCACTTGAGTGGCTTCTGCCTTTTGGCTCTTATAAATGTAACTACTGTGAACACAGGTGTGCAAATATCTATTCGAGGACCTGCTTTCAATTCTTTGGGTATAAACCTAGAAGTGAGATTGCTGGAGATCAGTATTTTTCTACAAGATTGTCTCCCTTGGGGCTTGGGTCACAGTTTTAGCTTAATATCACTAAAGATATACTCATAGCTACTTGTGAACAATTGAATGAATGAAGTGAATTAATGAATTCTATCTCCCAGGAGTGTCACAGGACCAAATAAGATAATTAAAGGTGCATTGCAGAGTATTTATCAAGAACAATATCAGTTCAACAAACATAAGCTGTGTGTGTAATGAGATGGAGAAAATTTCATTTGGAGAATTCTTCTAAGGGAGAGAATTATCTTTGGAAGAAACACTTTGATAAATTGCTTGTGGGAGAGTAAGACCCCTAAGGGAATTTGAAGCAACAAAAGTGATGGCTGAATTCCTGAGGCAAGGAGAGAAGTTTCTGTATCTCCTCAGGGAGAGAGGAGAAATAGGAGAGAAGAAGAAAGTGGGTTTAATACTAACAGTAGGAAATGTTTATTTAATGCTTGCTACAGGCCATACATTCTTCATGACAACCCTGTGAAGTTGGTAGCATGCCCATCTTACAGATGATGAACTGAGACCTAGGAACTCCAAGTAAACTGACCAAGGTTCATCAGTGGTGAGGCCAGGATTCAAAGCCAGGTTGAGTCTCCAGAAACTGTCCTTTCAGAGAAGAGAGGGAAGAGAGTCAGCGAGAGGCAAGTGCAGTTTGCTTGGGGCCAGGACGCCACTGTAGAATCCCAGAGCTTCAGTAACAGCTACCAAGCTCTCAGATTCTCTGTTGAGGGTTGGTGGGGGAGGAAGGGATGGGTTGGTGTGGTATGTAGCAAACAGCATGGGTGGACTGGAGCTAATGGCATGAAGACCCTGAGCAAATGAGCCCTGAGAATTTGAAGAGACCACCAGGAGGACTCCAGGTCTCAGGCCACAGGAAGGTTTGCCAAGTCTCATAAGCTGTGCTGCATATTAAGGGGCTATAACTGTGGCACTGAATGAGGCATGGTCCCTGTGCTCTTTCCTAGGATGCTTGCTCTTTCAGTGTTCATTTGTTCATCAGACAATATTTATTGAGAAACTGCCGTGAACCAGACGTTGTTGTAGGCCTCAAGACCAGGTCTCTGCCTTCATGGAGCTCACAGGTGAGAGGGGAAGCCAGTCGCACCTCATGCAGGTTGTCAAGGGGATGTGTAGCACTTTCTGGAGGAAAAGCAAGGTCTAAGTTGAGACATAAAGAATGAAGTCAAGAAGGAGACAGGGCAGGGAAAAACATTTCCAGGCAAAAGGCACAGAACATGAGATGGAAAGTATAATAGTTCAGAGAGAGTGCACAGTATTTTGGAAGAATTGAAAGAAGTCTTAAAAAGCTAAACTAGGACTCAGGTGGGCATGGGTTCCTGAGCCCCTGGACACCAGTATGTTGCTGCCTTAGACTGTCCTCCTGTGTGTTGCCGTAGCTGTGTGGCCAGCCTGGCTCTCATGGGCAGCCCTGTCTGTACAGCTTTCCATGGCTGCTCAGTTAGACTGTTTGACAGGATAGATGTGCTTACTCTGCTCAATGCCTCTGAGTCCAACCCCCACTGGGCCAGCAGAAGAGACACAGGCACCCCCCATTCCTTCCTGGTTCTGCTCCCCCTTGTTCCTGCCTCCCAGTCTCTGTCCCTTTCTACCTCAACCCACAAGGGCTTTGTTCCCGCACCATCGTCCCTAGCCTTGGCAAATGTGATGTTCAGGTTCTGTGTTGCCATCTTCACAGAATGTGAGCCTCACAGCTTCAAGGTGCACGGCCCATCCTTCCTGTCCTCAGTACCTCCCACCCACTGTGCCTGACTCACTTCAGACAAACTGGATATGTTTGTTGAAGGGAGTTATTAACTTGCTAAAAGATGAAAGAAGTGGGGCGTTTCCCCACTTTCCCAATTATTAGAGAATGTCAGAAACTAAAAATGTCCCTTTCTATTGCAACTTAAATACAGTAGCTTTAATTTATTCAGAAAAGGAAAAGAGGTTTATAGATCTGTTTCTGAGAACCACATTGACTGTTTAATATTAGCGCCTGGGAGACTTCTATTTTCTGCATTTCTAAACCTAATTTCTTCATCCACTGATACTTGCTGAGAGACTTTATGACTTCCTTGATTATTAACTCGCTTAAGTGAGCCCATTCGTAATAATATGTGTAATTACATCAAGATGTATAACAGGACAAATGTGAAACCAGCATGAAATTGATACATGTCAAGGAACTCATGGGTTGTATTGAACAGTAAACCACAGTTTGCATGTTTTATTAAGGAAAAATAACCTTCCATTTCTCTTTATTTCTCCCAGCAAGAATAGTTGGTGGATTAAAATTATCCCAGTGGATTTCCATTTTCTACATCACAATAACTTAATGTAACAGATTTGGGGGTGAGGGAAGGGAGGCACTTGGTGTATTTATATGCCTCTGACTTCCACATACTCAGGATGATATCTCAGTAGTTGGTTAGTCCATCCCTGGAGAAGAGAGACATATCTGCTGTAGAAGGGTCTCAGTGTACAGACTTCCAGAACTTCTGTCTCGGAACTCAGCAAGAGCCGAATTTTCCTTGACCAAGGCTCACCCCTCTCTGAAACGCAGTGGCGAGGCGAGTGTGGAAGGCCTCCTGAACCAGCTGGTCCTGGAGCACCTGCAGCTGGCCCCTCTGCAGTGGGGTAAGTACTGCCAGCCGCTCACTGGTTCTGGGTGGACACACGTCTTTTCTCAGAATGTACAAGCAAGTTCTTGGGGGTGTGTGACTGGGCACCCCAGATGATGGAGGGGGCCAAAGGTCATTTGGGGAATATTTGGGCAAAGTAGGGGCTTGCCATGCTGTGCTGCTGCCTCTGCATGCAGATGTCTGTGTTCACCTGGGTGCGTTTACCTCAGGTGAGTTCTGTCTGCTAAACTTGTGAAATCAGAGCTCAGTGCCCATCAAAACACAGGTGCAGTGGGCGAATCCTGAGCTCTGCCTTAACTTCCAGTTGTTACCCAGTTAGTTGTCTTCCTAAATGGCAATGACTGGTGAGGTGTGTGTTCTGCAGATGTTTCCAGAACTTATAGTGATCTGGGATGGTGGAAGACAATGGATGTGGTTACCACCTTGCTTTCATTCCACTCTCCTGGACTGAACTCTGACAGCTTTTCACGCTGCTGTAGGGAAGTGTGTGTCTTGTAAATGCCTCAGCTCAACTTGGTGTTCAGCCCCAAAGAGATCACCTTTGTTGAACACTGAGCACCATTTGTTTGAACGCCTGCTGCCTGTCACACCTGGGCTCTTCTGTCTTACACTGTGCCTTTCTACATGGTACTCAGAAATATTTTGCTGAGAAACAAACTTAGGATTTCTACTGAAATGAAGGTACTTATTATTCTCTGGAAATTATTTCATCAGATAATCTATTTTGGATCAACTGCAATCAGTTGCAAACATATATATTCTCTTTCTTCTGTCTTCCCTCAAGAGATGACTGTAAATGAGTATCTCCTCTTTGACTTAGGGTCCAGTTAATTAATAAGCCCCTTTTGTAGACTAGAGACACATGGACATTATCCTGGCAGGCTGAAGAGAAAACCAACCTTTCTCCGTGATTCCATCATCCTTCTTCAGCCAGGAGGCCCCTCACCCTTCAGGTACTGCCTCTTTTCTGCTGGCTGCTGGCTCCTCCCAGGTGAAAGCCGTCAGGGCCAGGTGGGCACCCCATCATGGCAGCTGTGAGTGGGTGTGCATTTTACACTCAGGGGGCACCTTTTGTACACTCTTCCACCTGACTGGCCCAGCCTGAGCGGAAGGAAGGGAGGGCTTGGTGTTCCTGCAAAGGGTTTCCCAATTGGGTTTTCTAAAGGCCTCCCTGGGGCCCAGACACTTTTCTTGGTGGAAATATCCTGTCTTCTGATTGCCTGGGCACAGTTAGCTACCTCCCCAGACTTGGGCACCAGAGGAGGGGCAGGCACTAGGGCTCTCCTGGTCATGGGGATTTTATCTCATCTATAGCCCTATTTCATCTATAGCTAGAGGAGAGTCCACCTGGCAGATAGGCAAGGCTTTTATGGGACAAGTGGGTGAAAGGTAGGTCATAGGCAGAACAGAGGCCTGAGAGCAAAGAGCAAAGTGACTCAGGGTGGAGAGATGGGCAGCAGGTAGCCTCTCTGTCTTGTATTCTTGGAGTCAGCAGCCCCAGCCCCAGCCATAGATCTTTGAGCCAGCTGGGAGTCCTTTGGTTGGGTGGGTGACCTAAGGGGCACCTAGGAGCAGAGCCCAGGGGAGAAGTTCAGACAGTATAAGACTGAGGGGGAGAAAGGCCCTCCACCCTCCAGTGCTCTGTGCACTGATGTGCAGTCTAGAGAGGATGCCCTTTCTAGGGCAGGGACTGTTTGTGGCACTGTTCCAGGTGGGCTCTAAGTAAGAGGAGAGTGCTAGAACTGGAGAGGCAAAGGACAGAGAGGAGGGAGGAACTTCAGATTGTTGGGTGTCTCCTGTCCTGGGCATTTTGTATAAAAGATGCTATTTACTCCTCAACATAGTCCCATGAGTAAGAGTTATCACTATCATTTACAAACTGGGACTCAGAGGTTAGCACTTGTCCTAAGGGCTCCAGTGTGAGCAGAGTTGGGAGGCCTGTGTTACAGGCTACTGTGCCCTGGCCAGCCAGGAAGAATCTCAGCTCTAGCCCCACCTGCATAGCAGCAGAACTAGAAGAAGACTGAGCAGTTTTGGGATTCCGATGAAGAAAAGGTTTAATGCTTAACAATAAAGGTCTTTTTTGCTCACTTTACCCTCTCTCCCAGGTATACAGAGAGCATCCTTTAAACATTTACGATAGTGGGAAAATTAGGGAGAACTATGGACAATTAGAGCCAGGACTAGGAAGTTAGTTTGGCCCTGGGATGCCTCTCAGTACAAGAACAGCCTGGCAGCTGAGCAGGCCCACATGGGCGAGGGACCTGGAGAGGCATGGAGACTCAGGCTGGGTGCAGACCCTGCCTACTGAGTACACTGCTGCTTGTTGTTTTGCCCCAATTATCTTTCCCTTTGCATGAGATCATTTTCTGTTGCTTATAACAGAATACCTGAAAATGCATAATTTATAAAGAAAAGAAATTTATGTCTTATAGTTAGGAAAGCTGAGAAGTCCCAGGTAGAGCGGCTGCATCTGGTGAGAGCCTTCTTGCTGGTAAGAGCTCTCTGAAGCCCGGACATTGCCTGGCAAGGGCCCGAAGTGGTCTAACATACTAGCTCAGGTCTCTCTTCCTCTAACAAAGCCACCAGTTCCTCTCCCATGAAACCCATTAGTCCATTGACCTATTAATTCATTAATCTGTGAATGGATCGGTCCATACATGAAGGCAGAATCCTCATTACCCAATCATTTCTTAAAGGCCCCACCTTTCATTACTGCCACGTTGGGTATTTAGTTTCAACATGAGTTTTGAAGGGGACGTTCAAACTATAGCACTCTTTTTTTTTCAGAGCGATTCAGAGAATTCTTTTGGAAATGTAGTTCTGTCCCATGGCTTTTCAGGAACAGGCGATCCTCGGTTTACATCCAAGTTCTATCACGTTAGCTGTGTGACTTTTGGCACGTCACTTAACTTTTCTGAGCCTGAATTCCCTTATTTATGGAATGGGCTAGTATTGCCTGCTATGTGAGTTACTGTGGGGATTATGTGAGATGATGTCTATCAAGTGCTCTATGCAACCCCTGCTTCCCTGCTCCATCATTTGCTTCAAACTTTCACCCATCTCCTTGTTCCCCTCCTACCCCCTGTGTTGGCGTCCTTCCCACGTAGGAAGTGTGGGCTGGCTGTGGGACTAAGCACGCTCAGATACACATTGGGTCTCTGACCAGTCAGGTTCAGCGCAAGATGTGAAATGACATTGCACTGATGTTGTTGACCTTGTTTCATTGCAGCCTCTGAGGGGAAGGGTGAGGGACAGAGTGAGAGAAAAAAGAGCCGTGGTTTTCACTGTACTTTTATCTGAAAGCAATGCTTCCAATTACCCACTTGGTGTAGTAGAGGCTTCTAGGTAGACCTGGATTTAAGTTTGGGTTCTGTCAAGTGCTGGGGTACAGGGGTGTGTGGACCTGGACAAACAATGACATGTCTCTGAGCCTCTGTTTCCCCATCACCCATCACAAGATGGCACAGATACCTCTCATGGTGACTTCACAGTGTTGCTCTGAGGATCAGAATCGAAGGGAAATGACATTTGCAAAAATGTATCTGGCAAACCATAAATCCCTACCGACTGCAGAGCAAAGATTTATTCTAATCACTTATGTTGTAAAGCTGCAGAGTCTTTTACACAGATATTTCTGTTTTTCCTGGAAGACCAGCTCAGTTCTAGGAGCCATATTTCCCAGCCTTGGTGTGATAAACTTGCATAGGGGACCTCTGTGAATCCCTGATGCAGGGACTAGACAGCAGGTGAATCCTTCCTGACATCCATAGAGGGCTGGGCCACTTTCAGAGGGAGGCCCAGGAAGCTACCCTGGGTAATCAGTCCCCTTGGCTATCTGGGAGATGGCTAGCGGGAAAGAGGAGGGCCTGTGGAGAATGGTGGGATGGCACATGTGGCCCATGTCATTAATAGGAGATTCCATGTTTCCTGCAGCCAGTGAATCAGGGCTGGCTCAAGATTTGCCGTCTTTTACTGTCTCTGTTCTCAGAGAGTTTGAGAGGCTTCTTTTGGGGTCCCATTTGCATGGCAGAGGAAAATGATTAGCAGTTTGAATACCAACGTTTTTTCATCATTAAAGAAAGATTGAAGTACTTTGTCAGGGTTGTGGTTAGAGATGCAGCACCTTGGAAATCTGAGGACAATTTCAAGATATGGCTTAATGACTTCATGTGCGATCAGAGCAGATCTGCTAGTTGGTAGGACATGATAATACCCTCTTCACCAGGTTGTTGGGCTGCTCAGATGGCATAAATGGTGTGTGGGAAGTACTCACCACACGTGAGATGCTCTGTAAATGATTGTTGAATGAATGAATTGACAGTGTGATCTATTTTTATTATATTAAGGGTTGAATAGAAAACACTTCTGGATTTAAAGTGAATTGAGTTCCCTAAAAAGGCTGATGAATATTCCATCATGTATATGTACCACATTTTTATTTAGCCAGTCCAGTTTTGATAGGCAGCACAGTTGGTTCCATGCTTTTGCTTTTGTGAATAGTGCTGCAATAAACATGCATGTGCAGGTATCTTTTTTGTAGAGTGATTTAAGTTCCTCTGGGTATATTCCCAGAAAGAGGATTGCTGGGTCTTATGGAAGGTCAACTTCTAGTTCTTTCAGAAATATTATGCAGCCATAAAGAAGAACAAAATTATGGACTTCGCAGCAGCTTGGATGGATTTATAGTCTATCATACTCAGTGATCATAGAAACAAAGAACTGAGTACCACATGTTCTCACTTATAAGTGGACCCTGAACATTTACCATATTACAGTGGGAAAGGGATTGGCAGTAGCAGGACATTGCCAGGGGAGAGAGAGGTGACACATAACATCAATAAGGGTACCTGATCTCAAACCAGGTGAAGTGGGGACAAAAGGGAGGCCCAAACTTTACCTGTATAATGTCCACTTATATACCTAAATCTGAATTGTACCCCACATCTTTAAAATTTTTTAAAAAATGAAGTACAATTTGGTGTCAGTCAAAAGAAACCAATTCCCTAGGGAGGGCGCAATCCAACTGCTGCATGCCCTGGGATGAACCTGTAGAGGGTCTCTTATGCCAGAGACTACCAGAAGGGATCTCAGGAGGGAAGGAGGGTCCTTCCACAGCATTTGCATCAGTTTCCTCACAGGGGTTTTCTTTCTCTTTTTGGCAATTGATAATGTTTGGATCAGCTGTCATGGGCACATTTCATGGACACACTAGTAAGTTGGCAAAAAAATGCAAGTCTTAATGCTACCCTCCTGGAGAAAATGCGTGACTTTAAAAAATCATACTTCTAAGATCTGAAAGGCATTCTGCCGAGAGGCCTCACTAGGAGGATGTGAGCCATGTTGCAGCAGCGAGCTGCTCAGCCCTGCACTTTTGGTCCCTAACAAGGCCTACCATGACCCAGTTCCCAGCTTCATGGTGTGAAATAGTCTCCAGAAACAATGCATATTATTTTCCTCTTTAGAGTATGGTAATTTATTTAACTAGTATCATATCTGGCTGTTTCCATTAAATACCTTTCTACACAAATTTTTGTTTGTTTTTCTGACTAGATAAATTTTCTAGTTTTGGAGTTTCTAGGTCAAAGTTTGTGGACCTTTTTATGGATCTTGGGATGTTTATCAAATGAACATGTGACTGTTAATCTTGATATGGACATCACAGGAATTGGATTTCTGAGGTGACTTTCTGGCCTCTGTTGTGGGCACAAAACACCCAGGCTTCTCCTGTGAGGGACAACTGGGCATGGGGAGGGAAGGCCCAGGCTGGAATCAAGTCTTTAAACAGGACTCCAGCATGTTCTTGAGATTTGCGAGTCATAGAGTGTGTGAGCTTGGTTGGGTATCAGGCGTCATCATGATTCCAGACTCTCCCTTCCCTATGACACAGATGGATCTGTGAGTCCCAGGGCAGGGGTCTTGCTATGGGCACTAGAGCTTTGGTGTCATTCCCCACTGCATTCTGCCACTCGGGAAGCCCTGTGGTGTCTGTGCTTACCTGGGATCCTTGGCCACACGGGCCACCTACACACCCTGGGTTAGTCTCTGACTACAGCGAGATCACAGTGAATGCCTGCAGGGATCTCGGCTGAGTTGAACAGCATCTCTTCCCAAAGGCAGCCGTGTGGGGATTTTCCATTTCTTAGCAGAACTTTCTCTGAATATCTTTTCGGATCATGTATTTCTATATCTGCGTGTATACAGAGAGAGGGAGAACAAGCACCCTCACCCTGTGACTCATAGTTCAGGCCCTCGGGATACAGAGAAACAAGCCAGATGCAGACTCCATAGAATGATCTTGGCTTTGGAGCCCCACAGACCTGCTTGTGGTCTTGACTTTGCCGTATTTTGCCGAGTTGGCTGAATGCCTTGGGCCATTACATATGCTCTGAGCTCTGGTCCTCTCTGAAGTGTTGCAACTTGGCCACCTTGCAGGGCTATTGGGAGAATTAAATAAGCTAACACAAATAAGTCTATCCCTTGCCATGTAACTAGTGCTCACAAATCAAACACTTTAAATCTCTCTGGTTCTCTCTCTCTCTCTCTCTCTCTCTCTCTCTCTCTCTCTCTCTCTCTCTCTCCTCTCTCTCTCTCTCTCTCTCTCTCTCTCTCTCTCCTCCTTTCCTTGAGCCTAGGAGAGAAAATGTACTTGGTATAAGAATGGCGTGAACAGTATAGCAGCTGCTTCTGAGCACTGTGGTGGCAGGAGCAGCTCCATCCCACAGTGGCAGGCCCTGGGGAGAGAGGGTTCACTTCAGGGTAAGGAATTGTGGAGGATGGAATGCTCAGTTGAACTTGGAGGAGTGGATGGCCAGCCTAAGTTGACTACAGTTTGCCATCTGGGAATTGACCAGGTGGAGAGTTGAGACTGTGGTCAGCCAGGCCCAGTGCAGGTGTGTGAGAGAAGGGGGTGAGTTTTGTCTGCTCCCTTGCTTCTAACCATAGCTGTACTTGCTTGCCAGCCCATCAGAGGTATATGATGGCCCAGGGCTTTATCCTTGGCCTCAGCACAGTCACCTCTCACCTTGCCTGTCCTATGTAGTGTATTCGATGTATTGGGCCTGCCCTCTCCTAATTTCTAGGCAGGACTTTGAGGCTGCCGTGTTTCCTGTGCCCCCACCCCCCATGAGCTCCCCAACGATCTTCCCGAGTCCCCTCAGAAGATAAACTAAGGCTGCAGCTCTCCAAGAGCCCCAGATCATACCCACAGGCTGCTGCCCTGGGTGGTCCCTCATTCCCTGGCAGGCCCGCTTTGAGCTTCTGAGCATTTCCACGTTTGGCCTGGCTGGACTGATTTCTTTCTCTGACTCTGATCAGGCTCTTGTAGTCAATTTAAAAAGAAAACGATTGTTATTTTAAAGTAACCATTTTGCAAGTGTATATCACCTGCTGGGCAAGGCATGAGTACTTTATGTTGTTGCTGTTTTTTTTTTTTTTTTTCTGAGTCCTGCAACAACCCTGGGCTTGGTAAAGGAGGAACTTGGAACTGGCTAGACTGGTTTTGCCCAGCACTGCATGGCTGGAAGGGAAGAGGCCCAGTTTAGATGTGAATTCTCTCAGGTTCTCATCTTGACCTTCCCACTGGGTCATTTGATAGAATTAATATGTTTTCATTTAGACAGAGAAAAAGGAACCTTTCCCTAGCTCCAAAAGCAACCACTACTTTATTTTTGTGCATTTCCAAGTCTTTTTTTTCATAGAGATAATCTTGCTGTATTTATACTTCTGTGTGCCTTTTTATGCTTGATAAAACCATAAACATTTCCCATGTTATAAACATGTCTTACACATACTGTTAAAGGCAGAACTATATGTTCACCAAATGGAGCAAGATAATTTAATGCTTCTTCTAATGTTGAATGTTTAGATTGTTTCGAAGTGTTTACTGTTATAAAAGTTATACACAGGTGTTTATACATAGAGATTTTTCTGTGTTTTGGGATTATTCCCTCAGCGTGGATTCTCAGAAGTCATTCATATTTTATGGGATCTTGGCAGAGAGCAAAGCCATCAAGTTTTACTATGTGATGATGACAGCAACCGCATGGCTCAAATGGGCATGGCGTCAGTGCTAAACTAATTTGGGTTTTGGGCCAGGCTCTACTATGTCCTCTTGGGAAGTCTTGACTCAGACTGGTGGTCAAGTTCTCTGAGCCTTGGTTTCCTCATTTTTAAAATGGAGGTGCTTAGGGTACCAGGTCCCCAGTGATACTTTGAAGAAATACTTGTTAGCCCAATGGAGAGTGTATTTCTCAGGCCCACAGAAGTGGGTGTGGGGCCTCCAGGGTGTTAGGCTGTGGGTGCTGGAGCCGACCCATGGGCAGTGGGGAACTACCCAAATCTCCCTTCATATCTTGTTGTAGAAAGGAGGCGGCTGAGATTTGGGGGCAGGAATCCAGGACTGAGTGTGCTCCTTCTGCAAGGCATCAGACTGCAAGGCAGGAGACAGGGTAGGGCTGGGCTAGGAGTTGGGCCAGGCTCAGAACAGAACTCCGAGTCCCCATATCGATCTGGAGCTTCTGGGGTACCTCCATCTCAGTCAGTGATCCTGGAAGTGAGGGATGCTGATCTGATACTCCAGGTGGGAAGAGGAGGAGGCAGGGCTGGGCCTCTCTGCGCCTGCTGCAGAAACCCAGTATGCTCCCTGACTGCCTATTTTGAGGACCATCTTCCAGGCGTTTCCATAGATACCCGGTCATGGTGACTAATGGGGCTAAGCATTTGTCACACAGATTTGAATGTCCCACTGCTGTGCCACCCTCCGCCTTCTTCTTCAACTGATAACACTTTTCTCTTTATAGCCCTTTATATCTTCTTAGATACATCAATGATTGGTCTGTGCTGTCTTTCATGGACATTGCATGAATACAAATGAGGTCTTAGCTACATTATGGAGTGGATATTTTCAGTACACATTCTTCAAATAATCACCAAGCAAATCCCACCCATGAGCTCAAGTTCTGAGCTGTAATATGAAGGCCGCACTTGTAGGAATGAGGATAACGCCAGTCTGGCAAGCAGAGAGGTCACCTGATAACTCGTGTGAGGGATACTCTTCTGCCTTGTCTCAGGGGGGTGCGGCTCCCTCATATTTGACGAGCATGGCTCAGGGTCCAGACACTTCATGGTTATGAGATTGGTGGACAGCAGGTTTAAAGGCCTTGAAGAGAGGGGGGAACCTGCTCATGGGAACAAGTGACCACAGTTGAGGGAGTATGGAGCAGGCACCACAGGGAAGATGGGTGGGTGGGGAAAGAAAGAAGCAAGGTGGGGGAGGCCTATGGTCACCTGGCATGTGATGATTGATTGATTGATACATCCTTTATCCAATAAATATATTTTGATCTATCCAGAGTGCTGAGAACCAAAAAGTAAATTAAATTTGAGCCCTGCCTTGGAGACCCAGACAGATCATTTGCATGCATCCTGGAGTGCCCTGGCTTGGAGTCTGTGTAAGTGTCCTGGAAGCAGAGACGACCAGCCACTTTGTTAGGGAGAAGCCACGGTGTGTTTGGGAGTGTGCATAGAACCCACAGGCCTCCCTGGGGACAGACCACCTGGAGGGGCTGTGAAGACCATCATGTCTGACTGCTATTTCCTCCATCTAAATAACACCATCTGTATTCAGCCCACTCCATTCAGGAGTCTGGCTTTGTGAATGCCCTCCAGCCAGAAGTCTGTCCGGGACCTCCAAGGATGGGTTGCATCCTAGCACCTTATGGGACTCTGCAGGGAGACACGTCCCTGCTCTGGAGTGTGTCCTTTCATTAAAATGTGTAGCATGGACCTCTTGTTATGGGGTTTTGCTTGTCATGCAGAATGGCTGCTACATGTCACTAAATGCATTCATGTTTCAGACTACTTGGGAGATGGAGTAAGAAGACCAGCTCCCACCGGCTAGCTAGTTGGACAGTTGGCAGCCCGTTGTGCTGTGCGTGCCCCAGGCCTTCTGGGCAGCTGGGCTTGCCCACTAACCCTCTGCCTCCTCTCAGGTAACTAAGCAACAGCATTGGGCTTGGATTTCTCCAGTGTAGCCCACATCTCCAAACATTTGCTCCAGGCCACAGTGTTAGTCAGCACTCTTGAGGCTTGTCAAGGAGGCTTTTGCTGGGGCCGAGTAATCGGGTGGTTTTGGCAAGTCCAGGAGACTGGTCAGCCTGAGCTGAGGACCACTTCCCTGGGGGCCAGCAATGGCTAGTGGCCAACTTGTCTGAGGCCCAGCTGGCCAGGGTAGTAGGTGTCAGGAAGCCAAGGGCTGTCTCACTGTCCCTTTGGCATCTTTGGGCCTGAATCGACAAAGATCATTCATTTGTTTTTCTTTACAAAAGTAGTTGTATTATTTTTGAAGGCAAAAAAAAAAGCAAGTGAAACAAAAAGCACTCATTCAAAAAAAAGCCTCCGGCTTCTACTCCTCCACTTGGAGAAAGCCCTGTTCACAGGTCCCTGCTGTTCCTCTGTCTGTGGGGAGCAGGCTACTCTGTGTCAGGTGTGGTCTTCACGCTGCTTTCTGTATCCTGCCGGCAGCCCAGAGGAGGCATCAACCCCAGTCTCACCATGTAGCTGAGGTGATGGAAACCCTAGCAGCTGCAGCTCCTGGGCGGCTCCTCGAGCATCTGACTACAGGGCCTGGCATCCTGACTACAGGGCCTGTCGCCTTCGTTCCTGTGCCACTTGCCTCTCTCCTTCCCCTCCTCTCCCATTTTGCCCCTCAGTCTTCTATTTAGCTCCCACATTTCTTCATCTCAAAATACTTTCTTGGAGCCTCTTTAACTGATTGTTTCCCCCGAAGTAACAACTGCGTTTGTGGAGTGTATACTGCAGTGTGTCGGGAACACATGTGTACCTTTCTGTGTCACCTCATCTGTTTCTCCTGATAACCCAGAGGGATAAGTATGCATGTTTTCTGAAGGAACCGGTAGGTGAACAGTGACACAGCTTGTCCCACAACTGCCATCCCCGCCTCTGGTTCTGCTTTGGTGCAATCCATCGTCCTCACCGTAGCTCAGGGTGACCTTCCCAAGTGTGATCCTTGTTGTGTCACTTTTCCTACCCAAAACACTTGTGTGACTCCTGGAGCCCCAAGGATGGAGGGACTCCAAATCCTCAAATCTGGCTCAGGAGGCCCTCCCTGCCCACAGCGCTTGCCCATAGCCCTCCCTGCCCCAGCCACACCTCCCTCTCTTTCCTCACCTACCCATCTGCCCTGCAGTGCCTGTTCAGACTCCTCAACTGCAGTCACTTGACCCATGTGCCATGACACCCCCAGGCCTTATGCTTGCTGCCCCTACAATCTTACACAGCCTTTTCTTTCCAACTTAGGTTCTTCTAGGAAGCCTGCCTTGGCCTCCCTCAGTCCTCTAAACTCTCATGCCCTACCTCATCTGAGCTGCAATTCCTTTGTACATCCCCCAGCATCTTTCTCCTTAAATCTGTGTTGTCTGTTGACTGCATCTCCCACTCCCAGGTGAGTGCCATGAGAGTGCAGATAGCATCTTTAGCACCTAGTGGATGCTCAGTGTTGACTGCATGAATCAGTCAGTGAGACCATCCTCCTCCCATGAGTTCAAAGCCAGATTTGAGCCCAAGGCACAGATGCCATTCTTCCATGTGATGGAAATGGTTCTGTGTTGATGTGCCAAGATGCTCTTAGACAATCCCTGCTTATTGGTCATTAATGGTTTCATTTCACTTGTAACACTGAGGCAGATGTTCTTGGCATCTGCTTTGTGACAGCCCTGGTCAGTTCCTAGGGGTCAGTTCCTGGAGCAGGATTGCTGGTACAGAGTGAGTGTGCTTTGTGAAGGCTTTGCACACCTGTGGCCTGCCTGGCCTCCAGGGTGACTACACTCATACTGACTGGAAGAGCAACTTAACCATGAGTCACTCTGAATTCTCTGCACCCAGCAGCCAGTTAGAGAGGATTCCTGCTTCAGCCTGGGTGCCAAGTGCCATGGTGGGACAGGACTAGACCTTTCCTTGCCTTAACCCAATGCCAACAAAGATGCAGTATTATGGTGGCCAGACTGGTGTTTGTTCTTGGTGGCAAGAGCCAGGCCAGGGGTTCTGATCCTGGAGCTGGGGTTACTTCTTTCTGAGCCAGGTCCCCGGATAATGCTCAAGTACAAGGACAAGGATATGGCTCAGAACATAAGCCAAATGGAATTAAAATTTTCCCCAGCTCCTTCCACCTGAAATAACTCTCCCTGACCCTTTGCAACTCATACATCCTCCCTGCAGCAGGCCTTCAACATCATTGTCTGCTCACCTATGATGTCCCTTCCCACTCTGGGTTGTCTTTGCCTTGTCACTTGTCTATCTTCTTCTGAGACTGTGAGCTCTGTAGGAGCAGTGACTGTGGGCAGATGGGTTAGAAGTACTCTGCGGGGATTCCTGGATTCACCTGAGCAGGGCCTGGCCCTGAGGGGGAGCAAGTGCAGGGAGTAGCTGGCCTACAGCCCAGGGCCCACATTGGTGGCTCTTGCACAGATGAGGCGTTGGGGGTGCCACTGGAGGAGAGGACAGTCTTGCCCAACCCAAGATGCTGGGAAGGGGCCAGCTGGCACAGTTGCAGGGCGTTGACTTATTATTCTTAGCCTGTTACAAAGGAGCTTGATGAGCAATATGGTGTCATCTTCTTTCTATCCATGAGGGAAATGAGGCTAGGAGAGGCTGATGGACTGACCCAGGGCTCTCAGGCAAATCAGCAGTAACCTCAAGTGTAGTCCTGAAGCCCTATTCTAGACGCATGTTCTCTCACTTTCATCCCCCATACATCTACCTCTCACCCACCCACTCATTTGCCTACCCACCTATCCACCTCACCCACATACCTATCCACTCCACCCTTCTATCGACTCACCTATCCATCCATCTACCCACCCACCCACCAGTTCATCCATCTACTCTACCACTTATTCACTCACCTGTCCGTCCACTGTCTTGAAGTCCTGTTCTAGATTTATGTTCTCTTTTATCCCTCATACACCCACAGCTCGCCCACCCACCCACTTCCCTACCCACCCACCTATCCACCCCACCCACCTACCTATCCACCCCACCCACACAATTATCCACCCCACCTTTCTTTCTACCCACCTACCCATTATCCATACATATCCATCCACCTATCCACCAATCCACCCATCATCCATCCATCTATCCACTCACCCACCTACCCTTCCATCCAGCTACACATCAGTTCATCCATTCATTTACCCAACCACTTATCTGTCAGTTTACTCACCTATCTACCTATCCAGGTGGGTAAATGTATGCAAACAGCAATTGAACATCTTTTGTGCCAGTCTGTGATAGACCTTAGGAGGCTGCTCCTGGGATGCCCCAAATCTTACTCCTCTTCCTTCTCCAGTTGCCTTCCATTTTCCATTTCCTTTTTTTTTTAATTTTTAATTTTAAAGATGTGGGGTCAAAAAACAACAGATGCTTGAGAGGATGTGGCGGAAAGAGAACACTTCTATACTGTTGGTGGGAGTGTAAACTAGTACAGCCTCTGTGGCAAACAGTGTGGTGATTCCTAAAAGATCTAAAAATAGACCTTCCATATGACCCTGCAATCCCCCTTCTGGGAATATACCTGGAAGAATTTTGTAAAAAAGGTACCTGCAGCCTGGCTCGGTGGCTCAGCCTGTAATCCCGCGCCTTTGGGAGGCTGAGATGAGTGGATTGCCTGAGCCCGCGGGTTCGAGACCTGCCTGGGCAGGTGAGACCTCATCTCTACAATAAATCAAAAAATTAGCCGGGCGTGGTAGTGCGCGCCTGTAATTCCGGCTACTTGGAAGGCTGAGGCAGAAGGATCGCCGGAGCCCAGCAGGTCTAGGCTGCGGTGGCCGGGAGCAGCCACTGCACTCCAGTCTGGGCAACAGAGTGAGACTCCAACTCAAAAAAAAAAAGGTACCTGCACATGTATGTTTATCAAAGCATTGTTCACAGTAGCAAGAACATGGAACCAACCATGCTGCCTATCAAAAGGGCTGGATAAAAAATGTGGTACATATGCATGGTGGAATATTATGCAGCCATAAAGAAGGACAAAATCATGAACTTCACAGCAACCTGGAGGGATTTAGAGTCTATAATACTGAGTGATCTTTCACAGAAACAAAGAACTGAGTATCACATGTTCTCACTCATAAGCGAACCTTGAACAATTATTGCAATATTGTAAGAAAAGGATTGGCA